TGAGAGAAGAATGGTATGGTCATGCTCACTGTGGAGTGCTTTCTCACTCTCCCTCCCTCCCTCTCTCTCCAGACAGCGTACATACTCTCTAGAAAAATTAAGCAAAAAAAAGATTGTACAATAGTATGAAAGTACTTGTCACAAACTGTACTTAAAGGTAGTTGAAGTGGTAAAAGTTATATCATGTATTGGGTAGTCAGGAAAGTCATGATGCATAGAAAAATGTATCATGACTTTCCCGACAACCTAGTATATTTTACCACAATATGAGTGATACTCCCGAAGACCGGAAATCTTAGGTCACAGACACTACAGGTCAACCATTCCCTGTCTTTCCTAAATTATCAAATGCAACATATAAAACTGCATAGGAAGTGGGGGTTTCACAGTATATAAGAAAAATGAGGTAGACTCAGGGTTAAAACTAAAGTCATGAAGTCAGCCATGTGGGGTCCAGCTGCCGTAACCTCCTCGCCATCTGCTGGTCCCAGCCAGTATATTTTTCAAGCTGCCAGATCTGGGATTCAAACTGTTCAGATAGCAACATGGGATGTAGACACCTTAACCACCATGCCACTGGCTGGCTTTATTACGCTCTTGTTTTAATTGTCGAAGGGTGTGTGCATTTACTAGAGAGAGATAAGGAACAAGAAACCATGCCCCAATGGAGTGTAGCCATACTTCAACCTCTTTTCCTCCATTTCTCCATCCTGGTAGGATTTGGGGCATGAAAGCACACACACCAGACATGTTTTTAAAGCCACTGAGGCTGGAATTTGAACTGTAGTCGGCCATGTGGGATCTGGCTCCCTTAACCCCGAAGGCTATGAGCTGGCCTTACTCCGTTATTCTTAACGCCACTCTTTACTAGTCATTTTCTGCCCAGACTATTAAAATAGTCTCCTCATTGCTAGCCTTATCCTTCTAACCTATTTTTTTTAATTATTTAATTTATTCTTAATACTTTTTTTTTTTTTTTTTTTTTTTTAGGGCATGTCATGTGCACTCACCAGAGAAAGATAGAGAGAGGGACAGTGAGAAAGCAAGCTGCCAGATCTGGTACTCAAAGCACAGTCAGCCATGTGGGAGTCCAGCACCTTATCCACCATACCACCTGCTGGCCCCCTAACCTTTTTCTGTTATCACCACCAGAATCCCCTAATTCAATTTATTTTTGCTATTAAAAAAATCTAACAGGGCTAGTCCACCTGGTGATAATGCAGAAGGATCCCACATGGCTGACTCCATGGCTTAAGCCCTGGGCTGCACGTAGCTTTAGAAATATGCCAGGTGCATATGTGCTCACAATCCTGAAAAGAGGGAGACAAGAAGAAGGAATTGTGGCATGACCATTCCCCATTGGGGTTGCTTTTGCACTTGCTGTCTCTCTCCAGTAAATGCATGTGCCCTCTAACCAAAAAAAAAAAAAAAAAAGTGACAGTTGGTAAATTCCAATTAAGGCCTATAAATTAAAGATATAGTATTCCACCAATTTCCTGATTTTCATAATTATACTGATTACTGATCTTGATAGTAACTTTCAAATTTAATATTTGAAAATTTCCTTGATTTTATAAAACAAACACCAAAATATTTCGGAATAAAGGGGTACTATGTCTACAATTCAGAAAAAAAATGAGTGCATATACAGATACGGACTGGAAGGAAACAATAATGTACATGATGAAATGCCGACATCTGGAGCTTCCAGGTAAATGTTATACGGGAATTCTCTTACTATTATTCTTGCAACTTTGAAGTCAGAAAATATGTCAAAATAGTTTCTAAAAATCAAATAACCAAAACAATTACAAAGTTGTACTTTAGGGAACCAGCAGTTAGCGTAATGGCTATGTCGCTGGACTCCCACATAGTCGACCGCGGTTCGTGTCCCAGACCCGGTGGCTTAAAACTCACGCCGGGCACATGTGCGTGCGTGCCCAAGATCCCGAGAGGAGAATGGAGGAGAAGGGATTGCGGCGTGACCATCCCCCCTGGGGGGTGATTTCTCGCTTTCTGTCTCTATGTCTCTCTCTGTCTGTCTGGCGAGCGCACGCGCCCTACAGTGAAAATCTCTCCAAAAAAAAAAAAAAGTTGTACTTTAAAACAGTTATTTAATTTTATGTATTATTATTATTATAATTCACCAGAGAGAGACTGAGAAAGCAAGCCACCAGGTCTAGGACACGAACCACAGTCAGCTAAGTGGGAGTCCAGTGCCTTAACCACCATGCCACCTGCCAGTCCCACGAGCTGTACTTTTGGTAGCACTTATTTATTTATTTATTTATTTATTTTTGGGGAGAGGTTTTTGCTATAGAGCGCGTGCGCTTGCCAGACAGAGAGAGACAGAGAGACAGAAAGCGAGAA